TTCCCACCGCCATAGTAACAACTGTGAAAAATTCAATTCCTCCTGCCTTTCCCACTCAGAGTGCGGAGGATTAAGGCTTGAGAGGCACACCCGGCTACCCGCTGGTCCTGTTCGGCTCTCTCACAAGTCCCAACATACAGGAGCCATTCAGAGTGTGGCCATTCTTAATGCCTGACTTATGCCTATGCTGCCATTTTAGTGACATCTGCACAGCATCCAGCAATCCCGTTTAAACTGCCTTTCCATCTTCCTCCTCTGCTGTTGTTTTTTTCCTCCCCTCCTCCTCTGTTATTAAATCTAATGGGGATCACACGTCTCACCTTTTTCATCCCTCCTTTGTGCTGCGTTTTTTTCTTCTCTGGCGTCGGCCACGGGGAGCAAAGCGAGGTCGACCTGTGTGTTTACATTAGTGTGGTGCCTCCTCCCTGCTGCGGTATTGATGTGGCATTATGGGGCCTGGGACTGAAGAGGCACAGAGAGGTAGACAGAGGAGAGAGAGAGAGGCTAAAAAGATGAGTTTTCAGAGTGCTTAACAGAGCCGAGGGTCTATGGGACTGTAGTTGGTCCCCCTCTGAGCTTCTTTTTTTTCCCCTGCCTAGCACCTAATAGGACTGGACTGGATGAGAGTAAAAAGAGATTAAAGGTACTGAGTGTGTGAGTGTGTGTGTGTGAGTGTGTGTGTGTCTGCTGGATTTCACAGACAACAGCATCCCTACTGGTCATTCCCAGAGCTGAGCACTGCAGATGATCAAAAGATGGATTTTTTTTTTTCTAATACAGTTTCCACAGAGCTGTCATTCCCATGATGCAAATACTATTGGGTTAAAGTGATGTGTCCCAGTTACTCCAGTTAGACTGTCCTGGTGTTTATTCACAGACTGATTGACAGGTTCCAGACTAGACAGGGCCCATGAGGCCACTGAGACACTTTGATAATTTTCCATCACAGAGACATTTGTTGGAGAAGTGAGCCACTTTTGATATGACTTATTGAATTTTTTTTTTTTTTTGCTATTTTGATCAGTTTTCTGATTTTATATTCATCTGTCTTTTATGTACAAATGTTTTTTTTCTCTCTGATTTGAACTCTGTGAATACAAGAAAAAACTGAATAAAAGTGGCTCAGCAGAGCATGTGTAAATGGCAGAGAGGGCATCTCTTTGCACATGCACTGAAATATTCTATTCATGGCCAGACTGGGGTTCAAAGTACTAACAAAATGAAATCATACCATTTTTGTGTCATTTGAACCGTTTAAAAGGATGCATGAGCGATGTTTCATGGTATTAAGTATTAATGCAGAGTCTGTTGTGATGCCTCCATCTGCCGTCCCACTGGCTGGACTCAAAGATCCTACATGAAAGAAACAGATGGAAAAATACACTGGTAGGAGAAAGCATTCTGGCTGGATTGAGAAGCACGTGCGGATTAGAAATGGAAGGTATACAAACGTAATCTCAGACCATTTTTACGCTCTTCTAACCGCCGCAGGCGGTGCGCGCCTCGTATGGAGTAAATAATGTGTGGGAATAAAAGCTAGCTAAAAATACAGTCGCAGAAATGTCCTAAAAGAACCGTTCCATTTGTCCGATTGCACTGATTTATTATTGATATCGGGGACAAATGTAACAGGAGAAAGTATTAGGGGATGCAGCAGGGACATATTTGGACTGTTAATCTCACATGAGGGAACTTGTATGTTGTTTTGCACTGGCACAGATGTCAGAGTTGTTTAACTTGGGAACTGGGGCGAGAACAGTTGTTTTAAGAGCCTGAGGAACATGAACAGCAACAGAAATGACTTCTCACTTTTTTTTTTTTAAATTCAAGTCAACATTCTTGTTTTTAAAGCTTGCAGTCAGAGCCAATATACAGTTCACAATTCCTCATAAACTTAAATACTTTTTTTTTTTTTAAATATCCACACACCAGGAGGATTTAAGGATTTCTCAGCTAAAGTAAACAGTTTCTTCATTTGTTATTTTCCTTTTCTGAACTTACTGATTCTTTAAGGCGTCTTCCTCTCCTAATGACACCTCCTGCACAGCGCAGACGGTGAGTCATACAGCCCGCGGGCACATGATGCCTGACCGTTTATGTAGATTTACACATGTGCAGTCGACTGGGCACGGCACAGGAAACATGATAGAGAGTCCACGGTTCCCAGCAGCCAGCAGTCCAGAATTCCAGTGAAATTTGTTTCTGGCGGAGTGCAAGAGAAGAGTCTTCGATCAAACTGACACAGTAACATTATACTAGAGTTTGAATTGTAAACTTATTATAGATTCTAAACAGCTGAATCCAAATGAAAGTGAACAAAGTGCTTTGTTCTTTAGCAACAAGAACCAGTACAGTGCCCTGTTATTATGAAACATATGCATTAAATATTCCTGTAAGTCACAGTTAGTTTTAGACTCAGCATGTGACTTTATCATCTGCAATACACATGAGCTCCTATTGCTCTAATTTTATGTCATTATATTATTATGTGTAAGTTGTGACTGTAAGGCAGTGCTATAAAAATATTAATTATCAAAAGACTGATAAAAATAATTAAAAAGACAGACTTGTAGAGTTTTATAGCATGCAGTTAATTATGTTTTAATTATCATATATTTAATTATAAATTAATCAACATTTGTATAATTTAAGATAATGTGTAAAACACATAATACATAGTGGAAATTAAATAGGCCTACGTTAACATTACAATTAACTGATTTAATGGTGGTTTATATAATTTGTATTTATTTTTTGTTTCATTTTGGATTTAACTTTAATGTACATATTACATATACATGTTTGTATAAATGTATAAATGTCATATAGCGCTGATGCCATATCAACTTTACCCAGAACCCATTGGGCTGATTTGACCCACTTCAGTGGATGGACCCAGTACTGGATCAGAACAACCCTGCTGGGTGGTTTCCTACCCAATGGTACTGGGTAAAGTTAACCTGCAATGGGTCAAGTTTTAATCTATTGGTTTTTAGAGTGCACTATGACTATTTACTTTTAGGGGGTGGGGGATGTAATCATAGTGTCATAGACTTCAGGATACAGTTTATCTTTAAGATAAGATAGACTTTATTGATCCCACATTGGGGAAACCCACTCACTACAGCAGCTCCAGATACAACACAGCAGATCAGAAAATACACATTTGTGAAAATACACAAAAACAGAATAGAAAATGAAAATAGAAAAAAGAGTTGTATGTACACTCAGCTTTTTATCTAGAGATGTGAGTAATAAGGAACATTGCACAGGTCACAGCAGGAGCTAGT